GACCCCATTGATGAATACTCCGTTTCACAACTTAAAGAATACGATGGTAAGAAACTTGTGTGCATCACAAAAGAGGGGCTTGAGCTTGATGAAGATGAAGATGAGAAGAAGAAACGTGAAGAAGAAAATAAGCAATATGATGAATTGTGCAAACAAGTTAAAGAAATTCTCGGTGATAAAGTTGAAAAGGTAAATTTTTTTTTTATTTTAATAGTGATAGCAAAAAATTTTTTTCAACTGTATTAAATGTGTATATATATATATATATATTTAGGTTCTTGTATCGAATCGTATATCAGAGTCGCCGTGCGTTCTTGTAACTGGTCAATACGGTTGGTCCGCCAACTTTGAACGTATCATGAAAGCTCAGGCGTTACGTGATTCTAGTATGGCATCATATATGGCCTCTAAAAAGATTATGGAAATTAATCCACAACATCCGATCATTAAATCACTCAAAGCTAAAGTTGAGGCCGATAAAAATGATAAGACTGTCAAAGATCTTACATGGCTTCTTTTCGAAACATCACTTTTACAATCCGGTTTTAGTTTGGAAGAACCTTCATCATTTGCCGGCAGAATTTTCAAGATGATTAAATTAGGTCTTGATATTGGTGAGGAAGAGGATACTATGGAAACTGAAGAAGTTGTAACAAATATTGCAGAGTCGAGTACTGCTGAAGCTTCTCAGATGGAGGAAGTTGATTAAATATAGTATTCGGATATATGTAATCAGTTTCTATGTTATAATCTTATAATGGACATTAAATAGTTTACATTTGCGTCTTTTCTTGCGTAGAATTTTAGCATATTTGCAGTATGCATTATATTCAAAGAGTGTCTTATTATAATTCGATATCATCTGCATTGCTAATATTTTTACATGTTATGTTATTTACCTAATGAAAAAAGTCTAGAGTGTAATAAATGTTTATAAACATATTTACATCTTTGTATAAATTTTTAAACATTGTTTCGTTATAAGTGAATTTGATTTTAACATTACAGAAAGAAAGTAGTAACACGTATAACGTTAAATAACACTAAGATAAATTATTGGCATATAGTCGGGTATTGGTTTTATTGATTCCAACACCCAGAAAAAATTATTTTACGTGTATAGTAGTATTTATACTACGTCCTTCAGTACGGTTGTATTATACTACTGGTACGTACAGGCGGTTAGGTATAATACTAATAATAATAATAATACGATTAATCAAATCTAATTATTATGAATTGTTATCGTTATGCAATAATACGTACTGTATACGTATAATATACAGTATACTGTATATATATAATTATTAAATTTTTAAATGAACAAAGTTATTTTGGCAATTATTTTAAATTTGATAAACTTTTATTTTGATTCTAGATTTGCAAAATTAAAATAAAATTTATTGAATTTGAATGAATTGTTGCTAAAATATCAAAGTTTTAAAAAATTTAAATCAAAATAAGTTATAGCAAATTTTTTCAAAATTTCAAGCAAAAATATCTTGGCAAACATCTATTCAAATTTGATAAGCTTTTTTTAATTTTAAATTTACATTATTCAAAATTTTAAAAAATTTAAAATATAAAATAACAGCTATAGCAATTTTTTTAAAACTTTAAAGATATTTTGGCAATTATCTATTTAATTCAATAAACTTTTTTATTTTAATAAGTTCTGTAAAATAATATTTAGTGAAGTTTAAAAGATAGTTGAAGATATCTTTGTTTAAAGTTTTAAAAAATTTAAAATATCTAAAATAAATTAATAACTATAGTAAATTTTTTTATAATTTTGAATAAAAATATATTAGCAACTATCTAAATTTGTTTATTTTAATTTTACAATTTTATAGAATTAAAAAAAAATTAACAAATTTAAATAAATAATTACTAAAATATATTTATTTAAAGTTTTAAAAAATTTAAAATATAAGGATGTATTAGAAATCAAGCAATTTATTTTTATTAAATTTTTTTTTAAACATTAATAATTTAACAAAAATGATAAAATTTAATAAATTTGCTCAATTTCTACTGATTCAATCTTATATTTATTAAACTAACTATAGCAAATTTTTTAAAACTTTAAATAAAGATATCTTCTTCAATTTGATAAATCTTTTTTATTTTAATTTTATAGATTTGTAGAATCAAAATAATAGGTAATTATGGATACAAATCACTAACTCTTCTTGATGATCACTTGTATCAAATTTTCTTGAAAATAATTGCTATTTACTTAAAATTTTATTAAGTAAACTATTTTTGATTATCTAAGTAAAGTTGTTTCAAACGCAAATCATTAACTTTTTCTGATGATTACTTGTATCAAATTTTCTCTAAAAACAATTGCATTTTTCTTCATATTTTACTAAGTAAACCTATTCTGGCTGCATAAGTAAAATTATTTCTAATAAAATTTTACATATAGGTAACCTAGTTTTATATCTTTAACAGCCTTTATTAGTGAGATATAGCTAAACTTGTTCTTCTGTATTTCTTCTTCAAAAACAAAATTTTATTAAAACAACTGCCTTTGCTTCTTAAAACAAAAAGATTCAGCTAATTTCTAGCTTCATTTTGACATATAGTACATTAAAAACAAACCAAAACTGATAGCAAAAACTGCATTTTATTTTTGCAAAAATTTTTTTTCTCTTTTTTGGGGGAACCCTGCCCCCTAGGACCAGATCTTAGATTACAAATCATTATTACAAATCAGTTTACACAAATTTAATCTCTGTTTTATCTATTTTTATTCTTAACCTAATTTTACTAATCTATTTTTAATTAATTTACACAATTTTTGCCTTATGTTGATCACATCGATCCTGTCGATCATCCAATTGTCACACTAGGTGACTTCTTATTTGTCACACCTTTTATATATCACATTCCTTATTGTTACTTCTTTTTTATTTGTCACACCTCTTATTTGTCACACTTCTTAAAAAAGCAGCTTCTTAACACTACCAATAACATGCCAACTGACCTTAATCCTATTCGAAGAACCAGACTCCTATAATATGGGCTTGGTGCTGCAAAAAGGGAGTAAATTGACAAATTTTTAAAAATTAATTTTTTTACATAAATTAATTTAGAATATTATCAAGATTATTTTTCACTTAAGATACAAAAGTAGTTGTATTAATAAAATTATTCAATATAACTCTTTAAAATTTGTAATTTTTTATAATTTATCATAAAATTTGTAATATAAAAATTGATTTTCTGAAGATCTTTTTTTTTGTCAATTTACCCCCTTTTTGCAGCACCAAGCCCATATTAACTACTATTATGGTTGATATCGTAATCGTTTTGGTATCAGAATGAGTGAAAACAAATCAGGCTCACCTAAAGTACTTCTATCTAACTTCAAACCAGAAACCTGTAATCTACAAACTTTCAAAAAATTACACTATTTTCAAGTACCAAAGCAACCTACCATTAGCATATACTACTGTAATAAATATCATACTAGTTTTACTTCCCGATTCTACAGAATTGATCATCTAACTGCAATAGGCCAATCAACCGATACTATCTCTACTATTTTGAAAAAACAATTCCAAAAAATTATTGATGAACTACCTGCCTCTCCAAATACCAAAGTGCAAAATCAATCTGAATCATCTACCTCATCTACTACTACTTCAAGAATACTATTTCCAAGCTTTCAAACTGACAAAACTCCTACAGTCATTATAGCTCACTCTCAACATTACTACACTTGTTTCATCTACAAAACTAAAAACATTCCTTGCATAGCAACTGAACAAAGCAGCCATGCTTCAGACTATTCGGTAGTTTGCATCTTTAAAAATCTTTTTCTCATTTACAGAACTTGCATTCTACAAATTTATGATATCAAACTCAAGCCACTTAATTCTACTGCGCCAATGACTTTTGAACAAAAATCTATAACCATATTTTTTAAACTCCAATAAATATCCGCTGCTAACAAAAAATCATATTTGCTACCTTCCTTAATAAACTTGAGCAAAACCAACAATCTCCCAATAAAAATCAAAAAAATCTAACCAAAATATTAGAGATATCTCAAATGATCTTAATTGATTTAAAGCATATCCGATAACTGAAAACATGGAACCACATACCAAGCTTAATAATACCCTGGCTTATCAATTATTTGAATTTATTAAACCATATCTGGTGGTTATCTACCCTGACAAAGTTACAAAAGTAGCTATTGAAACAACAAAAGCATCAAAGCTCAACTACAATTATCTTATCAAAACTATGGCTGGTAAAAGACCTCAGTTTCTTACTGATATTATATATGAAGCCAACTCTACAATCAGCAGATTAATCACAATTCCTTTTGAACTTATATACTCCACCTTTGTTAATCTACTTAAAGAATTTACTACAATCCTTTTTACTCAATTAAACTATCCAAAAATACTTTCTCCTAATCGAAACAGAGTTGCATTAAATCTTGCATGCTTATACCTCATCCTACATAACAAATATCAAACCATCTATACTAACAAATTCTACGAAGATATGAACTTACATCCTATTCGCTTCAGACTCCACTATTATATTAGCGAAGACAATATCAACCAACTTCTCTTTAAAGTTCAGAATGATAACCAATTCAATATCAACATCTCTTTTAATATCCCTAAAAAACAATTTTTACAAGACTTTAAAATTTCCTCCCTTAAACTACATCTATCTGAATTTGATCTATGGTTTGAAAAGTTTTTTGAAACCTATAAACAACAGTTTGCTCAAATAGATCAAAAGAAAACATACAATTATATCAAGCACTAAATTGATCTTAAACTCTAAAATATATGCAAAGGACTCCTTCCTTCTACTTTTAAAATTACTTCTATTAATTCACTTAAAGAATATATACAACTATGCTTTCAAGCTGCACTTTATCATTTTCATATCTGTATAGTTAATAAATGTACAATTCTTCCAACAGATGTTGAACATAAAAATCTCTATACCTCCTTTATTACTGAATCTTTTGATCACTTTCCTGTACCCAAAAATATAGCAACTAAACCTAAATTGGTTCACACTACATTAGACTTTTCTATTTTTAATCTGAACAAACAATATACTGCCACATTTCAAAAACCTACACCAATTTCTTTTCTTTATCAACTAGCTTACAAAACTGAAGAACAATTCCTTCAATTAAATTTACTCAAGCAAGAAGACTCCAATCAATCACGACTTAGTTTTTATTTTTATAGTTACTTTAATGCATATAATAAAGCTGCAGCTATCAATAATCAAATTCACAATATTCAACCACATATAGCAATTGAAAAGCTAATCTCAAAACCAATCGATACTAATTTCTTAACCAGTGTATTTACATATTTCCATACTTTAAAAACAGAAAAACCTCCAATTAGCTCTATTTGCCAAGCATACAATGAAAGATTCTTCCCTAAAGCAGAAAAAATTCTGTTTAACAAATTTAAGATACAATTTAACAAACCCAATACTAAAAATATTCTCTATAAATATCTGCAAAAACCACCTATTAAATATACTACAGCTTAACCAAACCCTAATAACCCTTATCTTAATACACTATTATCTCACCAAACACCAAATACAACTACAAACTTAGATGATAATACTATCATAACAGATCCTAATACAGAAGAGAATACTACAACTTCTAATTCTCCACAAGATTCCACTCTTATATTACTACATCATCATTTAATTCTTTTTAATAATAACTTTTGCAAAAAATATGAATACAGCCACCGCTTCTGAAATAATTATATCCTCTACTTTAAGTAGGCCATTTTCAGAAGAAAATGATGTAAATAGACAGGTGGTTAAGTCTATTTATGTGAAGGACCATTTATATGATGATCAGACCCAACGTACAGAGCAGACTATGAAATCCTGCACAGCTGTGAGAACTGAGCTTAAAATGGCAAACAACTCTGCAAAAGCTTCCTTGTTCAAATTATTATCAATATCATCAAACTCCTATAATTTGGAAAAATGCTATAACAAATTTCTCATCTATTACAATCTTCCTTTATTAAGTGAACCACAAACCATTAATTCTTTCCTACAATACTTATGACAAAACAATGCCAACTACCTGGCTGACTACTTCTTCATTACTACTAATAGTAACAAAACTGAGGCATATATGTACTTACCACATGAATTTAACAAACTTCCAAATTATTATACTCTATCAACCTATGATTCCCGTAATATCCCCTTAAAATCACAATTGAACACTTCTATCTTTCCACCAACTACTCACTCTCAACCAATATATTAACCACTCAATCTAAATATCTGTACTCACAATGTTAAAGGATACAACACTGATCTTAAACAACAAATTTGGGAGAATTTCTGTCTTACCAATAACCTCAACATTATTAGTATTATAGAAACCAAAATAGCTGACATAAACCCTATTACCAAAATCCAAAAATCCAAACATTTTACAAATTACTGGTTATGTACCAATAGCTCCAAAGCCGGTATAGCTATTATGATCAATAATTAGATCAAACCTCATATCCACAAAATTCTTACTATTCTAGGATATGCAATAGCTATAGATATTTTTTTTAAACATGATTTTAAATTTAGAATCATTTCAGTCTACTTACTCTGTGATGACCTCCAATTAAGATTACAAATACAAAATCCCATTATACAATAGATACAGCAAGTATCTATAGCTAATTTATAAACTATTATTCTAGAAGACTTCAACGCCTCTGAGGATAATTCTTACTTTCTCTCAATCAAATATAAACTACTTCAATATCTCTAATACAAAAATATGTACAATCTAGCTATCTACACCTAATTATCTATAATTACTTGGCAAAGCAGCAGAACCTAAAGTAGTATTGATTATATTTGGGCTAATCACTTAATCCTTTATTACTTAACCTCCTTCTACATGGATGACCCAAGTACTAGTACCAAAAGTGATCATAAAATCTTAATCTCTTTATAGACATTTCTATATGCTTTTACAGGCAAATGTTAAATCACAACCAAAACTCGAAGAAAAGTATTTCTTTATAAAAACATGAACAATGAGCAATGACAAACATATTCTGACCAAGTCTCCTCTAACCTCAGAGCTAATAAAACACCACTGTTTTCAAACACATCTGAAA